TAAACAAACAAATAAATAGACAGACAGATACACAGACAGAGACAGACAGATAAATAAATTAGAAAAGCGCAAAGTCCAACTCACCTCAGCGGCAAATGATACTCCCTTGCTGTCCATTACCTGGAGCTGAAATAACGTAAAACCAAGGTAAGTAGTGACCATTGCAAGGCGATTTACGTTAGGTACAGGTCAAGAAATCTGCCTTGCAAGGGCAGAAAAGAATTTGATGTTTGTGTCGGTTGTAGTTGGAGGTTGAAGTAGTTGAGTCATATTCTGCCGCAAGCGATGTTTTGCATGCGGTACTTTCTCTGTTTTAGTAACACACAAGTAAACCAAATAGCACGCAAATGAAAAACGTTTGTCTCCTGTTTATTCATTCCTCTCCCGTCGATGCGACTAAAGTAAAACCGCAGAATCTGGAGAAAAACCCTGGAGTAAATGGAGAGACACAACAGTCTCTGCTCACACGTGGTGAAAGTCCAGAATGAGGTAGAACCCAAGCCCCCGGGAGTGTGAGGGGAGTGCACTATCAAGCCAGCCTTGATTCCCAACAACTCTTATTTACCTGAGACGTAAGATCACTGATACGGCTGGTAAAATGATTCTTGATGAGAAGTTCACGTGTCATTCCATCTGAAGACTGTGGACATCAATAATTAATGAAATAATTAATGACTGTGAACCAGAGGTTGCAATACACAATGCTACTATTGCGCGTTATCTAACCTACTTCAACAACATTGCGCGCAGCAGGTTTCATCTTGTAATATTGGTGGCAATAACGTGATATTTTCAGCCAATGAAACGCTTATCGACGCAAGTCAAAACCCCAAACGCCTAGGACAGCAAAGGTACCAGAAAAGAACGGCCTCGTACAACAATGGTGGAGGGAAAAGAAGGAACAAAATCCTTCTTAGATGGAACTTAAAAAAGCATTACCTCGTCAGTAGCTTCTGAAAATACTTTGCCAAGCTGAAGAAAAGAGGAATGATATTTACAAACCGCTCATTTTCTAGGGTGTGGATGGGACGTGACTGTTGTATTGAATGGAACAGAAATAATAAAAACAGAACAGAACACTGATCCCTGTTTGTTGATAAAAAAGAAGTGATGGTCAGGTCAGTTAGGTGGTCAACAATAGGGTTGATCTAACTATTATTATTATTATAGTGTACATCTTACATCAGTTGGTTCGATGGGTGCCTCTTTTCTTGTAGGAGAGGGTGGCACAGACATCGATGTCGGGTTATTAGCCTGCAAACAAGATAGTGGTATTGATTACATATATGTATATAATTATATGTACGTATGAAATAACTTACATTGTTGCCATTAGTGCATGGTGATGGCGATGATAATAATCAAATAAGATGTTGATTATGATAATAAACATAATGATGATGCAACCCGGTTAGCTCAGTTGATAAGTCAGTCTGTTGTGCGGGAGATCGTGGTTCAAGCCTCAGCCGGACCAACACTCAGGGTCTTAAAATAACTGAGGAGAAGGTGCTGCCTTTGTAATTGCCCTATTTCACTATGACGTCACTGCTTGTTTATGTGGGGGATAGAATCGCCAAATCCAATAGAAAATTCAACAAAATTTGCTCCTAGCGAAACAGTTTAATCTAAAATGGCCTGGTTTTCAGATATAATATATGTTAATATGTGCTAAAAAAATATTCTGAGCGTTTGCTGGCTATTCTACTTCTCTTCCCGGATTGATACGGGTTTTAGAACAATTTTCGGTGAATTTGCGTTGATTTGACCCCCTCCGACAACAACCACCTCCATACCTGTGCATGAGTGATGATGATATACAGTGTTGATAAGCATCATGTTGTTAATACAGTAATATCCTGCTAGCTTACCTGATCAGCTGATGCACTTGACTTCAATTTCTCAAGCTCCTTCTCAAGTGAAGCAACTTTCTGTTGATGAAGGTAAATATATGCTTATAAAGATAAAGCAGATTGGCATTTTTTAGGGAGGAAACTTCATACAAGAATATTAATGTGGTTTCAAATTTTGATTTATTATTATTATTATTCATTATTGAAATTACTATCATTTATCACTATTTATTATGATTATTACTGGTGGCAGTTTGGGAGAGAAACCAAATTTAATTCCTGTAAGAGAAATGAGTCCACCTCATGCGAGTCTATCACTAGGAAAAATTAAATTGTGAACTCATTTTCGCACAATGATAATATAGGAGTTGATTTGTAGCAAGTCTAGCTGAAGGAAGGTTGGAAATGAGAAAGGAGGGAGGAATGAAGGAGGGGAGCAAGGGAGGGAGGATGTAAAGAAGAGAGGAAGGAAGGGATGGAGGAAGGAGGGGGGGGGGAGCAAAAGGCATACTTACTTTGGATTCTTTCTCATGTTTGACCTGTAGAAGTTGACATTCCAGCATCCAATGCTCCTTGTTCTAAAAACATGAAACAATGTCATCAAACTCATCACACTAAAACTAAATCATAATTAATATGAACAAGGGTTTACAGCTGGGAATAATCAGCCCTTATAACTGAGGTGCATTCTGGAATAGCTTTGGTGAAAATTAATTTTTTTTGCTCATCATGCTTTAGGTGTTGTTGTTCATCTAGCAGCTAGATAAGAATGCACCTTGTTTAACTGACTACAGCCTGGTT